TTGTTGTTTCTTTATTATTCCGCTTATCGGGATTCCTATTTGTGATTGGTGTTGATTTGTATATTGGGAATCGGGTTTGCACACCGCAACGATATTTACTCCCACCTTTCCAAATTAAATGAGGTATTTCCAACTCGGCACAGAAGTTTTAGTAAAAAAAGAAAGACTTTAAAATGTGTAGTCTTAAAAGCGTAGGGGTAATGTTTTTGTGGGGCCATTGACTTTTGGTGTGGTTATAAAAAAAGCTTCTCATTAGGGTAAAAATGGGAGTAAATGAGAAGTTAAATTGAATTATTTCCAAATTTAGAAATGTGTCATTTATTTTGGAACAGACTAAATAAGGAAACTATCTCATTTAATATAAAATGGAGGGAGTATATGATTTGGATCGGGTTGCACGCCGCAACATCACTATATGATTTGGATCGGGTTGCATGCCGCAACAGTTATATTGATTGGGAATCGGGTTGCACACCGCAACAAGAAAGAATAAAAGTGAATATTTGATTCTTATGATGAGAACGAGAGTAAAAGCACGAAGGATGATGCCATGCACTTTCTGCTGCTGTGTTTATTTGTTGTTATCAATTCAAAATGTTTAAAACTGGCTTAATTCTTTATTGTTGTGATCCTTTGTGTTAGAACCCACAATGTTTTCAACACCTCACGCAGTATTTATACATATATATATATATATATATAATATATATATATATATATATATATATATTATATAATATATATATATATTATATATTATATTAAAAATATTATATATATATATATATATACTTCAAACTTCAATAATTGTTACATCCTTAATTCAATTAATTTCTCAATTATATCCCCTTAAACCGTCTGAGATTGTATTTTTCTTTAAAAAAAATTTCTACTAAGTTTTAAGTTATTAACTCTCATGCTAAAGGTAATTATCCATTCAATGTTGTATTTTAAATTAAAAGGGGTACTTTCTTTACTTAAAGGATTTCCAAAGAAAAAAACTTTATCTTTTCTCGCTGGCTTTCCTAATTAGCTTAGAAATTGTAATTTTACTTATATTAGGTAAATGGGACTTCTTGGACATATTGAGTGCATTGTACGGACGTTATGTATTGTATAGCATGTGGATTTTGTTGTTAAAAGTGAAATGGAAAAAATATAGGGGCACAAGGTGCCATGTGTGCTGAAGGTTCGGAAGTTGAGATTATGATATGAGAAACCTAGGGTTGAGATGGTCAGGATTGTGTACTCGACATGATGTGATTGATTTAGTTGGCATTGCCTTCTTTATTTGGATACATTCTTACTTGTCTCTGTTCTTGTTATGTCAGTGTTGATTTACTTGGTTATCTGATTTACTTGGTTATCGTTCGTTACTACCCGTGTTCTCCCTTTATTGTTCCTACTGTTTGTATTTTGATTTCTCTACGTTGTGGGTATTACCTCGTGATCTTTATCTCGATATTTTATTGTCATATCCTGTTCATTTCATTTGACCAGTAGGTGTCGACGACCCCTTTTTCTCTAAAGCGAGATCAGGTTTACGACATTCGGGAAGACAACTCTATTTCCGTTTGGGAATTGGGATTTTTTTTGAAGAGTCGCCACCTAATGATTAAGTGCATTAGGACACTAAGGGTTTTGAATTTGAAAACTAGAGTTCGGGTAAGGGCTAGAAATTATCTCGAGGGGAAGGTGTTAGGCACCCCTCAAGATCCACTAGTGTGGTTCCCGGCCATGCTACAATTGTGACTTTAAATGCAAACAACAAGTAGACAAGCAAGAATTACAAACACAAAGAGGGATTTTCACATAATGGTTGCAAGGGATTAAGGAAATTAAAGAAACTGAATTTTGATAGAGGAAGCAATTTTAAAAGCTTGAATAAAAGAGTAAAAGAGAAATTTTTACATAGTTGTTGCAAGTTAAAAGCAGTTTAAAAACTGAAGTTTGGCAAAAATAAAATGGACAAATAAGGGAAGGGTCCTAGGTTTATACATAATATGGATCACTCTACACAACACCCGGTAACCGTTTATACACGTGGTGTTATCGCGTGGTCATCATATCCATATCTACCCTTTCCCACCCCATTAAGGTATTAAGCGCGAAATGGTATCATTACTTATAGCATGCTATTACCCGTCCCAATCCTATCAATCCCGGAGGCATTTGGGACTTCTAATCCTATCAAGGGAAGGAATTTTTGGGCTTTTTCAAGAGTTTAGAAAGGTAAAAATTCTAATGCGTCAAACAAAACATATAGGACAGTTATGGGGTACACATAACAATTAAAGGCTCACATAAGCCTCCTCAGAATCACGAAAATGTAGTTTAGCATGCCTTACATATACTAATTAGGTCTGAATTAAACTTAAACGTTAAGCGGACTGGTTCAACCCATATTTTTAGACAAGAAATCCGCATTAGGTCCGCCTGGCTGCAATTATTGAAGACTGATGCAGTTACAGCTTTTACCCTAAGGCTTGCCTAGGTGAAACTTATAGACATGATATCTACTGGTTTCAGAAAAGAAGTAAACAGGTTACAGAAGAGTTGCCAGTTTTAACAGAATAATACAAGTTCTGCAATTAATAACATGTTGTTACTGACAGATTACCTTAAAACGAGTGAGGTAATTCAGAATTGATTGACAGTTCCTATAGGCATGTTTTCTAGCGTTGTTAATTTTAAACACTTTTATACACATGGAAGAAAATGCAGAAAACCTACAACATGATATCTAGGTGTTGCATTTTTATTACGAACGTGACATCTGATTGCATTTGGTTATTAAGACCTATAAACATGTTTGCCTAATGAGGAATGGATATGCAACAATCAGAAAGGACCTATAGGCATATTTTCTACATGCAGAAATCTTATAGACATGGTATCTATATGAGAACATGCTGAAAATAGAAATCCTATAGACAGGTTATCTATATGAGAACATGCTGAAAAATAGAAATCCTATAGACAGGTTTTCTACGTGAGAACATGCTGAAAAATAGAAATCCTATAGACAGGTTTTCTACCCGCTTTTGCATACATGGTTACCCTCCCCTTTCTTCACTAAACCCCATAAGTTATTATAAATTATTACAAACCAAATGAATCAGGCAGAAAAATAAAATTACATCAAAAATTTAAGCTCCATCCAAGGAACCTAATTCAGACTCGATATCTAACAATATGATATGAACCAACTTCCGGGGTCGATTTTCGAAGACTTTCTCTTATTTGGGATGTGTCAAAGTTCCAACGAACTTCAAGAGTTCTAGGCAGTGCTTACACCCCAAATGTTACTGCAGAACAGATTAAGGTGCAGTGTGGAAGTGCCAGCCCTCAAGTGTCCAAGTTCGGAAGGAACTCAAGGTTCCCAAAGCAAGGCTCAAAGAGGGGGGCAGGACTTAAGGACTAGGAGTAAGTGTAAGTGCAATGAGAGGGAATAAGGGGGGAGCCAGGGCAGGTTGGTGGTTATGCCTAGCAACTGGGCTGCTGGCACACCCCTGACCAGCTTGTCAGCTCAAAAAATTAGAGAGTTAGGACCTTTTGAAGGTCAGGTTCAGCCATGGACAGCAATTCATATGCTGCCAAGCTATACCTAAACTCTATACACATAAGGGAATAGGGGAATAGGAGATTGAAAGAGGCTAGGATCCAAAGGACCCAGTCTTAATCCATGACAACAACTTTGCATGTTGCCATGTCTTAAAATACAGGCCAAACACATAAAGGGAATGGGGATAGGGATTCATTGCAAGAACAGATAGCAAGACATAAGTATTTATTTTTCTTAAAGATGAACTCTATAAAGCAGTAAAAAGGAAGCTTGTAAGTAAACACATTGTATTTGATGCTTGAATCAAAAGTAAGCCATACCAGTTCAGAAGAACAAGTAGGGAGAAGCAATAGATTTGGGGAAGCCAAATTACAATCAGGAAGCAAGAGTGTGAGTTTTAGAAGAGAGTTGATGATTTTAAAAATCGTCTGTATGTTAATGAAAGAGAAAGGTATTTATAATTGAAAACAGGTGTAGCAAATAAGGCAAGGATCATAGTTTAGTAATAATTAAGGAACTATATACCAATTAAAATCAATCAGCCGATAGACTCCCTTTAATTAAGGAGTCCAAATTCAAACGGTAATGGGCAGAAGTTATTTAAGGAAGGGAAATCAAGTAAATATCTCGTGCAAGGTAGGCAAATAAGGGTAAATACATAGAAGACATTTAAGGTAAAAGTCTAGTGGTACTTGGTTTGTAAAACAAGGAAAAGGAATCAGTAAAATAACCAGTAAAGAATCCCATTGAAAGCTTTGCTCGAGTCAGAAAAGAGGTAAAGGAAAGTTTTAATTTAGGAAAAATCAGTAACAATCAAATAAGCAACATTAAAGGGATTCAAAATCAATTAACAGTTGGCAAAACATTTGAAAGAGAAGTTCTCGTATAAAACACATAGGCATGNACGGACTACGAGTTTTTTTAGTAGATACGCTCATGACCACGTGACACCCCAATGTCGGCGTTTCTTTCCGCACTTTGTATTCAGATTTTCTTTATGAAGTTTTAGTATTAAATAGCTTGAAGTTATCCGTTAAATTGAAATATCGGGTCGTTTTTGGTAAAGAGTCGGCTTGCCTAGTTCCACGATAGGCGCCATCACGACATGATAGCTTGGGTCGTGACACTTGCCTAAGGCCATAGAGAGATTTCTTGAGCTTACATGCCAGAGGAGTTGAAGAAGAAGCAGAGGAGACATCAAGATCGGATGGAATTTTCATATAGACCTCCTCATGGAGATAACCATGGAGGAAGGCATTATTAACATCCAACTGGTACACAGTCCTATCTCTCTTGATGGCCAGAGTTAAGAGGCATTTGATGGTGGTGAGCTTGATAACAAGGGAGAAGGTTTCAGTGAAATCTATGTCTTCCCTCTAAGTATCACCTTAATAACCAACCTTGCCTTGTATCTTTCAATAGACCCATCTGCCCTCTACTTAATCTTATAAACCCATTTGTAAGGAATGGTCTTCTTTTTTGAGAGAAGATGGACAATGTCCCAAGTCTGATTATCCTCAAGAGCATGAAATTCTTTGAACATGGCCTCTTCCCATGAAAGATGAGTTGCAGCCTGCTGGTAGAGCTGAGGTTCGTGCATGTGAGCTTCACTAGAGGAAATCATAGATTTTGTAGAATTAGGGGAGGAGATGACAGCTGAGCGGATATAATCCTTAAGGTGAAAAGGTTGAATGACAATTCTAGTGGATTTTCTTAAGAGATGAGGATCAGAAGTAGTTGAGGTGGAAGTGGGAGAAGTAAAAACAGAAACAGGGGAACCAATAGGAGGTGAAGATGAAGGGAGAAGATGAGAAGTGGGGAAGGACTCAGAATAACTAGTAGAGGGAGTAGCCATATGAGGAGGAGCTGGNGGAAGAAGAAGAAGAAGAAGAAGAAGAAGAAGAAGAAGAAGAAGAAGAAGAAGAAGAAGAAGGAGAAGAATTAGAAGAAGAAGAAGAAGAAGAAGAAGAATTAGAAGAAGAAGAAGAAGAAGAAGGAAAACTATGTTCATGGAATACCACATCTCTAGAATGGAAAACAAAAGAGTTAGACAAATTGAGCAATTTGTAATCTTTCTTCACACATGGATATCCTAAGAATATACATGCAATAGCTCTAGATTGGAACGTATCCCTGCCTACCTTAGGGGAAGTAGCAAAGCAGAGACAACCAAATGATCTTAAATGATCATAGGACGGTGGATGACCATGAAGCTTTTCAAAAGGGGAAAGTTTAAGAAGAAGTGGCGAAGGCATTCTATTGATAAGGTATGTAGCAGTAGGACACATTCCCTCCAAAATTTCAGTGGTAGTTCAGATTGAAACAGTAGAGATCTTGAGACTTCTAAAAGATGTTTGTGTTTTCTCTCCACAATACCATTTTGTTGTGGAGTATAGGGTATGGAATTTTGATTTAAGATTCCCTGGGAAGCATAAAAACTGATGGCTTCAGAACTACTTCCAAGCTCAAAAGCATTATCTGATCTAAAAGTGTGTATTGAGGAATTGAAGTGAACTTTCACCATGGAAGTGAAAGCTATAAGAATGGACAAAGCATTACTCTTGGAGAAAGAAGATGGGTCCAAGTGACTCTAGTAAAATCATCAACCAAAGTGAGAAATACCTAAAGCCATTATAAGTTTTAGTGTTGTGAGGGCCCCAAATGTCAATGTGAACTAGTTGAAAAGGTGTGGTAGAATGAATAGTACTATCATGAAAATGGAGTCTTTATTGTCTAGCCATTGGACAAATTGAGCATTAAAAGGTTGTTTAGTGAATACCTTGTTAGACATAAAGGAAATAGATTGCATCTTATGAAAAGGCGCGTGACCTAATCTCCGATGCCAAAGTAGATCCATCTTATTAACAAGTGAAGTTTGATTACAACTAGGTGGAACATTTACATGTAAAGGTGCAAGAACATTTCATGTAAAGGTGCAGGAACAGATTTATTACATGGAATTGAACCTACATAAAAAAAACAGACTCATTGCAAGTGGCATCAACAAAAGATGATAGAGAAGAAGTTGTGCTGGTAAACAGATCTCCATCTGGATGAAGATAATAGAGCCTGCCAGCAGCCTTACCAATTATCAATGGCCTCTTCAGAGAAGGGCCTTGTAGAGAACAATGGAATTTGATAAGAACTGCAATACAATTCAGCTGAATAATAAGTTTATAAATAGAAATTAAATTAAAATGGAAAGATGGTACTCGAAGGACATTAAGTAAAGTTATAACATGTCTTAGATGTAAGGATCCAGTTGATATAACCTTAACTTTGTATCCATTAGGTAAGGTGACAAGAAATGGTTTGGTTAGAGGCACAACATTGTGAAGCAAATGTTTGTGTAGAGTCATGTGGTTAGTGGACCCTGAATCCAAGATCCAAGGGTTTGGATTTGACTGTGAAGAAGCACACACATGAAAATCTACAGAGTCTACAGCATAGGCAGTGAACAAACCTGCAAAGTGAGCAAATGCAGAATCCTCATCTGGGAGAATAGGTAGAGCAGAACCAGGAGAGACCTCAACTTGTTGAAATAGAGTCAGAAGATGCTGATATTGCTCCTTTGTAAATCCATGAACTGGAGCAGAAATTCCAGGAGGCTGACTGGACCCAGAAGATGGTTGAGGATAGGAAATGTCACCTTGGACATAAGAAGCAGACTTTTTACTGTTGGTAAATTTGAAATCAGGGGAAAACCATGAAGTTTGTAGCATTTTTCCACTATGTGTCCAGGTTTCTTACAGTATTTACAAAATACAGTGGACACGTTCTTCTTGGGTTCAAAGTTCACCTTCTGAGTGAAGTTTCTATTGTTATTGTACTGAGTAAGGGTGACAGAGAAAGAAGCAGAATCTCCAGAGAAAATTGAAACATTGGAAAGGGACTCCTTTAGACTCTCATCCTGTTGAAGGAGAGAGTAAGTCTTGCATAGGAGGAAGAGGGTTCATCATCATGATGAAACTCTTAACAATAGAGTAGGATTCATTCAACCCATTCAAGAATTGGAACAATTGCTGGTCCTCTATAAACTTTAGAAGTGCTCCACAAGAGCACACTAGACCAACATAAGAGGAGTTCAATTCATCCCATAAGCTCATAAGCTTAGTGAAGTAGGTAGCAATATCTGATGAACCCTGAGTGGTTGTACTAATTTCCCTTTGGATTTGAAGGTACTTTGACCCATTTGGCAGACCAAATCTTTCATTAATGTCTTTCCAAACTTCTCATGCAGTCTTAAGACACATGACACTGGTGGCAATTTCTCTGGACACAGAATTAGTTATCCATGCTTTCACCATGTCATTGTACCTTTCCCAGAGAAAAAAGGGGAATCTGGTGGTGGTTGAGGAACCCTACCATCTAAGAGTCCTAACTTGTTCTTTGCAGACAAGGAGGTAAGCATACTGTTTCTCCATAGAACAAAACCACAGCCATTAAAAGGCACAGACACCAGCTAACTACCAGGACTTTCAGACGGATGCACATACAAAGGATGGGATGGATCTATCATGAAGGGAGTAAATCCCTCAGAGGTCGTACTACTAGGTGATCCTACGTTTTCCATAATACAACCCATACAATGAAGTTCAAGTCCGGTAAATTGAGAGAAAATAATTAACAACTGAATTAGCACAATTTCTACACAAGTACACTACATGCAACATCAGATTTATATGATTTTGAAGTCGAACAGGAAGGATATTACCAGCCTATTTCTCAAACTCGAAGAAGAAAAGTCTTCTCTAAATATGAAACCATAGAAAACCGAATCTGCAGAAATTGCTAAGGAAAAACTCGGAAAACCAAACCTCCTAGCAGGACCAGACAATTGAAGAAGAAAGACGAAGAAAGCCCCAAATTTTGATGGCAAAATCGTCGAATAGCAGTTGTCGCCGATCAACCAGATAAGGAAACGAAACCGTTCAAAGCTCTGGGCGAGGGTAACATCGGAATGAAGCTCATGATGAGAGGAATCATAATTCCTGCTCTGATACCATGTTAGGTTGAAGATTAACCAGTTATAGTGGAAAGAGAAGAAGAAAACCCTAGTTAGGGTGATGAGAGAGAGAGAGAAGAGAAATGAGTCGGTCCGAAATGAAGACCGGACCTGTGTATTTATAATATATATATATATATATATATATATATATATATATATATATAACACTAAAATGTGCAAAGAATAGAAAGAAAACCAAAAATACAATTGGGTCGGGTATCCTTTATTGTTACTGGGTTGGGCCCTTTCTTTTAACTGAAGTGGCTGAGTCCAAATCTGGGTTAACAAATCATGAAATATTTGGGTATATATTTAATAATAGGGTGTAAGGACAATAGGTTGCATATAAAGATCACTCAATTATAAATGAAAAGTCTTGTAAATGAATACAGTGATTGACGAATAAGACATCTCAAAAGTCAACGACTATATGAGCAATGGTGATGCTTCTTTCACATTACAACTATGTAAAGGAGGAAGAAGAAGAGAATTCTTAGGGTGTGTTCGGTACGAAGGCCGAAAAATGTTTTCCTATTTTCCCATATTTGGTTGGCTCAAATGTTTTGGAAAACATTTTCCCCATCAACTCATTTTCCTCCAATTGCAGAAAAATGATTTTCCTATCAAGAGAAGGGAAAACATTTTCAAAATACTTTTTCAACCTTCCCCACCCTATTCTCCATCCCTACCAACCCACATTTACACCCTCCACCTACCAACCCTACCCCCGCCCACCCTACCCAACCCCCACCCCCGCCCTCACCCCACCAACCCCTAACCCCCACCCTAAATAAAAATATTATTAGTAGTACTTTCTTTTTTATGTTATAGATAGATTTTTTTTTTCATTTCAACAAATGAGTATTTTCTTTTCATGATATAAAAAGTATTTTCTTTTTTTATTTTAACAAAAGAATTACTTCTTTTCATGATATAGAAAAAGTATTTTCTTTCATTTAAACAAAATGATGAAGTAAAAAATATTTTCTTTTATTTCAACTAAAAGAGTATTTTTATTTTCATGAGTTAGAAAAAGTATTTTCTTTCATTCAACAAAATGACTAATCTCCTTTCATGTTATATAAAAGATACTTTCTTTTTCAACAAAATAAGGTATTTTCTTTTTAGTTATTAAGCTCAAATTTTAACTTTGTTCTTGTGTGAAAAAGTGAAGTAGCACATTAATTCCCTTGGGTTTGTGTGAATTTTGAAAAGAGTAATTAAATTTTTGAAGAAAATAGAGTCCAGGGTAGGTGTGGATGTAGAGGGGAGGAGTACAGGAAACATGTAAATTTTGGGGAAGATGAGTTGAGGAGAGTAGCATAAAAAATTATTTCTCTAAAAATATTTTATATTTTCTAACCAAACACTAGAAAATATTTTCCGGAAAAAGTTTTCCACTCACCAAACCAAACAAGGGAAAATAAGTGACCAAACCTCTCATTTCTAGGAAAACATTTTCCATGAAAACCTTTTCCTTCGTACCAAACACACCCTTAGCATAAAAAAGATAATGAGGGTAAATTTTGATAAAGTTAATCACGTCCGGTATGTCAACTTGTTCTATTTCAATCCTTGTCAATGGCCATGCAGTATTGAGAAAATAATATTCCTACTTATAAACTCACCATGTGAACTACCATTCATTATTAGCAGCAAGAAAAAATATAGTAAAAATAAATTTCATTAAAATGCAAATGGACCAATCAATTAGTAGAATTTGTTACAACCCATAATCAGGCAAACCTGAAAAAAAAAGAACATTGCCTAGGGAGGATGCAACTAATTAGTGGGAAAAAGAATTACAATCAGGAAGACATGTCTCATTACTAGTGCACACACGAATATTATAAGAAATCGAACACTCACATTTAGAGAGAAGAAACCTAACTATACTCACCAAAAATAAAATAACTCTAAGTGACACTCTCATCAGTAAGTATATGTCTAAAGCAAAGCATCATCATCAGGTCCAGCAAGAATTACCTGCAATTTCAAAAACTTCAGCTTTAGCATCTCTAGCGCTTGAGGGGGGGGAGAGAGGAGCAGTTGCAGATTCAGGATCGCGTAAATCAGGATCGCAGAAAATTCATGGACTTTGGGATAGAAGCGTAGTTGATTTTTATAACTAACAAGGAAAATTTGCAGCTCAAGTTGAAGAAACAAACAGAAGCTACTTACATTGCAGTCAATGGCATATTTTCGAGCTACCATAAGGGCGCCATTTCTTTCTTTCTCTGATTCAAATACTAACACAAAGGAATGTCCTTTCCTTGGTTGCCAAAACAATGACTTTGCTGCAGAATTTCCTCCTCCTCTAAATCCACATAGCTGAAATCAAAAGGATTTTTTGGGATATTAAGACATGATTGTCACTTACTATTGGGAGTTAACAATGAGAGAAATTGTCACCAGCCATGAAGACAAGTAAAGAAAAGAAAATCACACTGCTGCGACATCAAAGTCGAGATCTAATGGTAAAGGGACATAATTGAAAGAATGTATGAAGCTCATATAATAATTCAACTGGCAACCGGCTACTGGAGCATGAACGAACTACTTTCTAATTACATTTTCACCTAGTACCTGCATAGACCCAGAGTATGAATCTCTAGCTTTTGTAATCCATCCTTTGCCCAATTTCAGCTTCGTTTTCCCGACATGAAAGCAGTGTGCAGAACGTGATGAATAGTTCCGTCCATTCATCTGTGCAATTACCACCTGAAAAAAATTGATAATGTGATTAGCATAAAATAGCTAACTTACAGACAAGTCCATTAATATTATTTAATCTCTAATGTAAATGCTTGATATTTATGGAGTGTGCATATAATATAGTGGAACGTAGAGGTGAAACTGTGTGACGTATTCCCAATGCAAAAACTTTCAGGATGGTATAGATCCCAAAGCAAATGTAGGTATGAACCTAGAATGCTCAAAGAAGTGGACGAGTAGAAGCCACTGAGGTGATTGCAAAAAGAATCCCATGATATTGCAAAAGTTGAATCATGATTGAACAGAAGTTTGATATGTAATAGGCTCTAGTGTCACATGATTTTCAAGATGAGAAAAACAGGGAAGATTATGGAGTTAGACAGAAAGAAAGAGGGTAAAATGTCTCAAACTATGGGAAATGAATCATGAGATATTTCTTTGCCCGTGGACAGAGCAACGGATTCAGGGGCTCCTCAAGGTTTTGGTATCTTCAACAATGCTATAAAATATAGTTATCTACGTTTTACTCCTCGGTTATAAGTTTTTTTATACATATTGATGTTGGTCATGAATATCAAGTCACCTTATTGTTTTATACTTCTCCCATAAAAAAGATCTAAAAATTAGACAGTCACTGCTTTTTAGAAGATTGAGGTGTTGCAGCAATGTCAGTTTCCTATCTAGTCCTACTTTGGTATTTTCACAAATTTAACCCAAGTTAAATGTACTACAGTTTCTTTAGTATCTTAAGCAACTAGGTATTAGCTGAAGAATTATATGAGAAAACTTACACTGAATTCAACGTTTGACTTCCGCAAAAGTGTCTCGACATAGCTCCCCAATCCAGAAGCTGTAAGAATTGAGTTAATAGAACTCCTCATTTTCTTCATCAACATTAATAATAAATAAATAAAAAGAGTAGCCCGGTGCACTAGAACCAGAAAATATGGGAAATTTTTTTATGACAGAGCTACCTTTAGAATGAACATTAAGATGAAACTCATAAATGGGGATAAACATGGTCCAACACCAACCTGGATCTATAGGAGCAGTAGTTGTCAATGAGACTTTTTGGCCATTTGAAACTATATCAGCTTCTAAAAGTCTCCCGACATCAATGGGTTCAGGAGCATAAACAAATTTGTCCGCACCTGGTACAGTGAACCAGTAATTATTCAACAGCAAAATTGATGCAATGAAGTAAGGATGTTAAGCTTTCACAAGCTAGTTAGATATTTCAAAATTGGTGGAGCTAAAACAATGGCTAAAACTAAATTAAGATATATCTCTGGTACAATCAAATTTATCATACAGCTCCGTCATGGTATGTTCGAACTTCAGAAGGTTCTTAAAGATTTTAGAGGATGCTTACAAAGTACCAGTACACATGTTGTACTCTAGACATAATATAGAGCCCTTGTAACATATACTAACATTGTATATGTTGAGATGTGAATGAATTTCGAGATATTGCTGGATGTATTTGCTTCCATTTTGAAGATATACAATTTCAAAGGACTCATATTGTGACTCAAGAACTTGGAACCTTTAGCCATTTTGAATGAAGACTTAAAATGCAGAACGGAAATCAGAGTTAATACCTACAATAGGTTCCCTTCTACTGCATTCAGATGATAAGCGATACCACTGAATTGAACATTTTGAAATATCTATGGCTTCATCTGAACATGACTGGATTCTTAAAATACAGCCTAACGTTTCAGAACCAGTGAACTCATAAAATTCAGATTTGTTTTGCCCAGCTCGTCTGCTCATTGCTAGCTGCAAACAATGAGGAATCATCAGTTTTCCAAACAGAAAAGGAGCAGAAAGGTAAGGATATAAATGAACAGGCTCAAATGTTTGTACTCTAGTTCATTTGTATGCACATTACATTTAGTGGCTAGCAATCTAGTTGAATAAAATGGGTCTGAATAAACCGGAATACATACAGAGGACTCATATTAGTGGATTTATATTACCGTTTCTAAATAGTTAGGTCGAGGTGTAGTTGATTGTTGTTTGATATATATTTGAAAGTGATGAGAGACTGAATGTAATAAAGGAAACATCCAGCAGTTAGTATTAAGTGTACTTTCTGGCTTATAGCTTGGTTTAGTGGAATAAACACATCAGGAAATATAAGTCATGGGAGTTGTGTCCCACATTGGTGGGTAATATAGTCTTGGACAATCCTCACCTCATGAGTTAGCTTTTGGGGTTGAGTTAGGTCAAGGTCCATTTCAACATGGTATCAGAGCTAGCAAAGGTCCTAGGTTCGAGTCTCACCGCCACCCAATATCAAAAAGAATTTCCACGAGCCACCGCACGTGAGGGGGCGTGTTGAAGACATAATTAAGTAAACAAAAGTGTGTTCTCTCTAATCGCTTAAGCTTTTAGATGAAATGGTAAAACACTTCAACACGCTGGAAGTGGCAGGATAATGACAATTGAGGCTTTGTAAGACAAGCAAACACAACTGATCTATTCAGTGTTATGCTCAAATTCTGAAAGAGAATATCATTCGAGATAAGTTTTATAATTCTAACTTCCGTATACTCCCAAAAAAAAATGTATGATACTCTTCCAAGTTCACTGAATCATTAGATCCTACACACGAAGGATACCTCTTTCTGAAGCTTAATTGAAACAGTAGACTTCTCCCTAATCTGGATTCTCAAAGCCCTCAGTTCATGTTCCATGTCCATCACCTAAATAATACAAAAAATGTTGTTTTCAAGTCAATAAAAAAATAAGATAGAAAAGCTGAAAGTTGTATGAACGAGACCAATGAAAAAACTACAGATGGATCACAAATGGAAAAAGGAACAAATAATTTGCCCCTGCAGTCATAAGAATACTTTTTCTATAACTCAAGCACCATATAACAACAAATTAGGTTAAGGTAAAAATTACAAAGCATACCTTACTAGGCTGATGCAACAGTTTTATTCTTCTAGCTTCTTGAACCTCTTCCAGCAGTCCCTCTACTTCCTGGCAAGGACAAGTGTTAGTTCCATTGGGGAAAGAAAAACTTTTTGCCTTAATGAAAGTCAAATTCTTTTGTCTGTAATTACCATAATCAACTTTTGCCAAGAAAAAAAGAAGCCATAATTTGGATATCTAAAGTAGAAAAGCAAATTCAAATGCTTTTGTAGTTCTCTACACATTGTGCAAGGCAAATGTGGACCATTAGCAAGAACAGGTGACGTTGCTGACCTTCAACCCACATGGACGTCAAAAAGGGCATCAATGATTGAGAATTTAGTACACTTTCTTCAATTGGTTAAAACTCACTCTCTCTCTCTCTCTCTCATTGAAGGATACAACCTATATTTATCGCGTTTATAGACACTATTCTTTTCAGTTCTATTAGTGTGCTCAAGACCGTAAACTGTTTAGATAATAAGCATACAAGGAGTTATTTTTGACAAGTTTCGGGATATTATATAGAAAAAGTCCGGTCAAATATAAGCCTTTGAAGTGACAATCCAAAAAACAATTTAAGCCTTTGAAGTATTATATTTTTTGATAAGATAAAAAGAAATAATAACAACAATTCTAAGGCCTGTGTGTCATTCTTAGCATTAGTATTAGTATTATACTTGTATTTTCTTATTCCTCTATCTTTGTTATTACACGTTCTGCCATTTGCTTCAGTTGCCTTATTACCTTGTTGTTGCTATTATTTATCGCTTCCTTTTCACTATTACTTAAGCCGAGGGTCTACTAGAAATAGCCTCTCTATCTTCATAAGGTAGAGGTAAGGTCAGTGTACACATTACCCTCCCCAGACCACACTTGTGGGATTACATTGGATTTGTTGTTGTTCTTGTTCTTTCTAAGGCATATCATCAAAATTTTGGAGCAGATCAAGAACTAAGACAAACTCTTTTTCCCTTAATGAGTTTGTTATATTAAATGTAACCCTAAATAAATGAAGTGAAAGCAGAAGAATGAGTTGGACACTAGGACTACTGAGCTAAAGACTGATATCAGTTCACTTGCTAGAGACTGATAGAAAATGGGGAGACAAGAATGGGTTCCTCGGGCTTGCTTTGGACTAGAATTCATGCACCTATGAGTATTAGAGTTCTATTTATCCAAAGGCTTCTCTTAGAAAAAGGCGTCATATCATCCTTTCTACATGACTCGTTATCATATTTCATCACTGAGTACCTGTTCCAGGAACTGAAGAGCTCAAAAAGTAGAAACTAAAACAAGAAAAAAACCACAGAAATCTGTAAGAAATGCACCATAGTGCACCAAATTCAGTTTAATTATGTTTTACACCAGAGATGACTTGCTTAAGATTTGTTGATATAGTGCTTATCATCTCTATAAGATAACTGTCTGCTCTCAAGCCAGATATACTGAATATACACATGACTTTCTAGACCAAGATGCAAATGAAGCAATTGCTAATATATGGTAACTCTGTTTAACTTTGGATGAAGAGCTTAGTACTTTTAGTACTGCACAATAGGAAACTTCCAGATAGTCTGTGCCTCTGCGGCAACAATGCTAATCCTTGTAATAGAAAATATTTTATGAGGTAAATTCTAGAAGACAAACTTACTTCAAAGAGTCAATATAAGAGCAAGAATATGGAAAATAAAAGGATATATCAAATAGAAGAGAAGAATGGATCAATGTTTGGTAAGTACCTGCTTTGCTGAAGTTGGGGAATTCCTTTCTTCTTCGTCAAGAGCCTCTCCAATTCTTTGCACGACTGATCTGGCACTCTCAATTTCAGCACAAGCAAAAGATCTTTCTTGGTTAACCAATCTTTTAGCATCCTCTGAGGCCTGTAAGAGAAAGACTTTCAGGCTCTTCTTTTCCATTGTTCTTTCGCATACAGAAAAGCACAGATATCAGAGATTGAAGACCATAGTTCAAAAGATATATAAATGAAATAGAAAGGAGGTTCAGTACAATTAGGATGGCAACGAAGACAAATCCTCCTAGATATCCAATTAACATGCATATCCCTAAATTCAAGCTCTGCCCAACAAAACTGGTAAAAGAAAAAGTAGCTAAAACTATCTATCTCTTAGACAATTCTATATCTTCACCGCCAAAGAAAGGTAGATATAGAAATTCCCATTCTCACATTTTGATCCACAGATACCAAGGAAAAAGTTGAATTGTTTTATCATCTTGCAAGTTCAACTACATTCTGTGGAAAAATTCGACAACAATCCATTTTTAATATATTCTCTCCAACATAAGCACTGGATGAACAACTTAAATGGAAGCCATTAGAATTAGACGTTTGGATGAATTTATCACTCTTTTAAATTTATGTCATTCTATGTTGCATTAATGGAGGGGACAAATAACAAACCTGCTTGAGAAAGTTCACAAGCTTTTTCACTTCAAACTTCTCTTGAATCAGCTCTCCCTCATTTTGTGTCAACTTTACTGCCAAAGCTTCCACCTTAATAAAATATGTGTGAGGCTTTAGAAAGATAAAAAATTCCGCTAAGTAAACCAGAGAATTTTCAAGTATATATCTGAGAATATTTCATGTTTTCATTACAAATGTACAAAGAATCAGTGATTCAAGAGTAAAAATTTTGTGATAGTATTAAAACAAAGGCCCAATGGATGCAACTTGGCATGTAACTAATCTAGGAGAAAGCAGAGTATCAGCCAAGTATAAATTGGTAAAGTCCAAAAGTCTTGTCAGAATACAATGTATTAACCTTCAGATGTCGCTAGTACTCTAAAAATTTGTGAAACATAGCATACAATACTTTAACAGCATTTGACAAGTATATGTCAGTGACATTTAGCTATTTATGTACATCTTTTTATACACAAAAATAACCATAATATTAGACTATGAAAAACCACTTGGAAGTAAATTGATGAGTTTATATTGATTCCACTAGCACTTTAGGACAAGCATTTGGAAAACCCGAAGAGGTTTCAACAAGAAAGTGAGTGCATGCTCATTAGACTAGTTTTTTCTGCTCCGCATATTAATAAAAGAATCTTGTAATTCTCATATGTTGCATCTTTTTAACATTGTTAAGAGATGTATGACGATGCTTCAACAAACAAGCTAATACAGAAAACAGATTCTCTAATGCTTTTCTAAACCATTCGGGATTATATACCCTTCAATCTGAACATCATTGAGTTGTCATAGATGCATCATTCCTTACTATTTCTGTTCTAATCACAAATGAATTACATCTTAGAACGGGAAAGCCAGAGCTCATCTTAGCATGGTATGCTGACATAGTATATGAATACCCAATAGATATGGTTCCGTGTAGCTAATTACTACCTGACGTGGCAAAAGAGTTGAAGCAGAATTACTATTATGTGGGATAGTTATTGAAGAAGACTAACCAATGATATAGCAATTTCAATGTCCTCTTTGTTTAGTCCGGTCAATCTTCCTTTGAGAAATTCTAATGAATCTCTGAGCTTCTTCAAAAGGACATGTCCCTCGAGGGAAGGTACCTCTCTAATTTTAGCCTGGAAAAAGAAAGGCTCAGTTGTATATAATTCAGTTGTGTATTGAGAACGTCATAAAATATATGTTTATCTCAAAGACCAAAAATGCAGTAAACAAGAAAAATGTTGTCTAGGTCTCTTTGCTAACTCTTTTCATCTCTTCTGTTCTGCATGATGTAAAAGGCAAGTAGAAGTATTTAAAATCAGATGGCAGTTGTCGTGCAAACAGAAATATGTACCTCATTAGACAATTTAGCTGCAGCTGCCAAATTCTTGTCAAATTTGCTAGCAAGGTCACGAACAGAAAGGCGGTTGTGCTGCTCGGTCAGACGAGTTGTTTCTTCCTCGACTACCTCCTTTAAAGGCGGGCCTTTATCATCCTCCTTTGTCTCCTGTAGAACCTCAAAGTTGGGTCCTAGCTTATATTTTGGAAACTGGTTATTGGCTAAGCTCACATCTGTTGATACTGACTGAACTGTCTGCATCCGAGGCTCATCTACAAATTCTGGACTGACCTTTGTCATTTGACAAGTTTTATCTGTTCATCAGGATACAAAAAATTTTTATATCCATACAGACATCAGCAGAGATCAAAATAAGTAAAAGAAAGGCTCCAAAAAAAACAAATAGCAGCCTAGTTAGTTCCTTTATGATTTTTTTTTAAAAAAAAAACAATGCAGTAGAAGGGAAGAGAAAGTACAGATGAAATCTCAGAATACTCTTTCAGTAATTTGTGAAAAACCAACACACTACTTTTTCCTAAATTGAACATCTCTAACTACACCATCCCACACCCACCCCCTCAAAAAGGGGAACTAAAAAGATCATATTTGCATTCCTTTAAAATTATAGATGACAGAATGTAATTAAAAACAACAATCTTGAAAACTAAGCATAAGCTTTAGAATATGGTATTGAATATTACTATCAACAGTCTTCTTTCACAGGGAGTACATAGGCATTTCACCAAATATAGGCCTGTAAAACCAAAATAAATGGTAATTGCCTAAATCTTTGTAGCAATAGTGGAAAAGGATAATCAAAATTTAGCAAAACTACTGATGCTGGAATGAATACTAAGTTGACACAGAAAGAAACCTCCAACTAGAGATCTTATCAGCATAAAGTTACACACAGAAAAATAAAAAATAAAAAATATAGAAGGAGGTAATTTAGGATTTTGGTGGGTTAAAGGGGGAGCAACATAAAGTTTAAAGGCTGCAATATACAACCAAAGAAGGAACAAAGCATATTTGGGTTAAAGACATAATGATAACTGCTGAAGTTAGTAATAATTGTATTTTGCAAATGCTTTCTTTTGAAGATCCATCATCAGCAGTGGAGAAACAAGAAAACTAACAATTCTGATCTAATAAATGTCATAAAAGAAATTGGCCAAAAAAATTAAAGACCATTTTCAGAGAAAGTAAAGGAAAAAAAGGCAAACCTCAGATTTTACCTTTGACAGCCAAAATAGATGAAAAAAGTGAACTTGTATAGAATCAAATACTACTGTAGTAGTACTTTTTGAATATTACCAAAATTTGCTCTTTCCTTAATTTGTAGTAAAAATTTCTTGAGAGTGGTGATTCTTCAAATAGAGATTTTGAAGATATCTAAAGTTAAAGTCTTTACACATGCATTACCAAATTTAGAAACAAAATTTCATGACTGATACAGACATTTCATTAACCCTTTTTTTTTTTTTTTTTGAGTGTATAATACTACATTAGATGAATAAAGATAGGAACTTTCCTTAATAAACATGCTTAAGAAGCAAAATTTAAGGCATGATTAAGTAAAGAACATTCTCTTCCTCGCCAACAAAGCAAGCAAAGACCCAACAAATAAAATAAAATAAAATAGTTAAAGAGAAGTTTCATGCATTAATAAAAGGAAAAACAAATGGCAGAACCCCAGATGAATAAAACTAAAGAATGAAGCAAAAAAACTGAGAAACTGGTACTACTTACATATTACTGAGGAAATTATGCAGATGAATAAAACATGATATTATTTTTGTTCTTGAAATGAAGAACAATAGTAGTACTTAACCAGTAAAGTTGTTGAGAGAGAGAGAGAGAGAGAGAGATGAAGAATGGGAACAAGTGAGAAGAAGAATAAGAGAGAGATGAATGGGTGCTTTTGTAAAAGCAAAGTGAAAAAAGAAAAGCTTCTTCTCTTCCGTCTGGCCCTCACTGTTTTACCAGACTTCAGTTTCCTCTCTCTCTTTCTAGTCTTCTCACAGCTAAGCAACACATTTAACAGATATACTACAAGTAGTTTTTTTATTATTTGGAATTCACTAATCCCACTAATTTACATTAGTTATAAGTTACGGGTTCGAGCCGTACAAGCATCCTCTATAGGTTACAGATTCGAGCCGTACAAGCATCCTCTAATGTCTGTACTCCTTTCGTTTCAATTTATATAAACTTGTTTGACTGGACACGAAGTTTAAAAAAAAAATGAAGACTTTTATAATTTGTGGTCCTACAACAACAACAACCTAGTAAAATCCTACTCGTGGGGTCTGGGGAGGCTAGTGTATACACAGACCTTACCCCTACCCTGAAGGAGTAGAGAGGCTGTTTTCGGATGTAATTTGTGGTCCTAAACAAGTAAAAAAAAGGGGCCCAGAATATTTGTGTGGTTATAAAAGCTTCTCATTAAGGGTAGAATAGTAAATTTAAGCTAAATTGTGTCCAAATTTAGAAATGGATCATTCTTTTTTGATCGGACCAAAAAGGAAATAGATTTAAATAACTGGAACGGAGGGAGTATTAGGATGGACTCTTTTTCAAATCCTGTATAAATGTCGGATGCTTTGTGCACTCCTACCTTAATATTTTATATTAGCATGTGGCTTAGGGTTTATTGCTTATTTAAAGGAAAGGCTTCCTACAAGAGATTTGTAATTTTCATGCCTTGAATTCAAATTTCTGATTAAGGAAAGGAGAAATCTCGTCCATATCATCACACCCTTAGGTGGTATACTATAAGGTTTGATTATATCCCCATACCATAATAGGCTATGGATATCTCATTAATTTAGGATAGTTTGATTTAGAAAAATAATTTCAAAGATTCTTTTTAGAAAAGCAAAAACGATTTTGATGGTAAGAAATAATGATCCAAAATTAAGATAAAAATATTTTTGAACAAATTATGTTGCTTTATATTTTCCAACTTTATTTTTTGAAATGAATATTAGAAAAAAGATTGATCTTGGTTTACTTCTTGCAAAAATATTCTTCCTAGAAAAATAGTCTTTGTTGTTTTCATCATTTAGAAAAAGGGAGAGAAAAGAAGTTGATATTGATACATAAAATAATATAGAAAATTAAAGTCTTGTTGTAAGGATAACGATACCTACTCCAACAAAGGCAATTAATTTTATTTTTTTTAAATTGTTAAAAAGGTTTGAACATATCATCATACCAAATTCTATCGAAAAACTAATTTTGTGACATGACTCTTTGTTAAGTTCATAATTTCTAAGGCTAATGATAATAGGTGAATTTGACTATAATCACGCACCGAATAACCACTTTCTTGTGAACTTTAATGTGGAAAAATGACAACAAAATGCTCTTATTGGTACTTTTCATGATTTGCAGGTGATATAGGTGTAAGGAAAGCTAAGGAGCAGTTTGGAGTCAACTATTGATGAAAAAAAAAGCTAATTGTTGCATTTCCCAAGTGACCCATTCAAAACAGGCCAAATTGCCCGGATACAGGGTCTACCGCGGTTCCACCGCGACCGCGGTGAAACCGCGGTGGAAGGTAGTCTCTGAACAATTGAAGATCCGCGAGGGTATTTTACCGCGGTTCTACCGCGATCGCGGTAGAACCGCGGTGGACACAGAAACTTCGGGGACCAAAGTGTAAAACACGGGATTTTTAGACCTAAACCCTATTTTAAACACTAGACTTCGCCCAAGAGAGGCAGAGATTGATTTTTTTAGGTTTCTTAGCAAGGAGAACAATTGTGAAAAAGTACTCAAAACATCTTTCTTCTTTTCTTTTGATTTTATGATGAATTCAAGTTTAGTTTATTCTCCCATAACTATGAGTAGCTAAATTTCTTGTCTAAGGCTTTGATGGAACCTATTGGGTGATGAACTTCTTGTTTATGTGAATACAAATTGCTAGTTTAATCTTTATTTGTTCAACTTCGTGTTCATTGTAGTTAATTGACAGGATCCTCAATTAGCTGTGCCTATTTAGTGTGCATAACTTGGAAAAGAGTGCATATTTAGGGTTTTGTTGAACAACACCACTCCTAGATTATTAGAGGAATCTATAATTGCGGGTTTAAAGGCGGGATTAGGAATAACGAAGCCTTGGGTGCAATCTAAAGTGAATTGTGCTAAATAAAGCAAGCTAGTGTATCTCGGAAGAGTGCAATAGTAGATTACTGTGATTACTCGGGAGAGATTTGCGGTAAGATTAGGGTTCATGATTGATAGAGGTGTGTGGGTGAATTTGTATGAGCATAAACAGAAGGGATTCCATCAATAGGGGAAATCATTGCCTTAACTTTTTCTCATAATTGTTTACAATCCTTTTTATTAGTTATAGCATTGTAGTTACTTGAAAGTTAGTTAGTAAAGAACACTCAATTGAGAATTTAAATATTTGGGAAGCTGATTCTGAAGACTTGGGTGGTCTGAAGGTTGCAACTGATAGGTTAACTCTCTGTGGGATATCGACTCCGGACTTGTAAACCGGATTATATTTACAGCGACCGCATTGTCCTTTTTATAAGGCATAGTTGGGCGTGATCAGCTAATATCAAAATTATGATAATACGAGACAAAAATATCATCAAACTTGTTCATTCTTATTACGATAAAGTTTGTTATTCTATCCACAGATGATACTAAAACAATTTCTAAATGCAAAAGTCCTTTATCTTTTTATAAATATTTAATTATTCATGTTAATGCAAGTTAAACAGGATAAATGTTGTAGTGCATTGTAAATAAACTCTAATTCGGTATTGTAAATAAACTTAATATAGTTGTATATATTCTCGCAATAATAATTTCGGAATTAAAAATATTTCTCAAAAACTACGAACAATTTAGTATTTCAAAATTCTTTTTTAATTATTTACTTGGTGTTCGATATTCCTACTGAAATTTTTATTAATTCAAATATGCGTCACATAAAATCCTTTTAAAAAAATCGATTTTCATACTCGAATATTTGTTGCAAGTTTTGTAATCTTACATCTTGTTTGGATGGTTATTACACATCGTTTTATAATGTATCATGCTGTAAGTATTATATTGTACTGTATCATTTGATGAATACAATGTTTGAATAGATTGTATCATTTGTCGTCGTTTCATGATATCATGCATTAGCAATATAAAGAATAAACTTGCAATATTATAATAAAAAATTATGATACGTAATGAAATTATTATATAAAAAGGTATCGTAAAGGATAAAATAAAATTAATTAATAATAATGATGGGATGAGAGAAAAAGATAAGGTAACGATGCAATCACACCAACTCGATCGTTACATAAAGTGACACTTTTCATCGTTACGTAACAACGAGTTTACCAATATGATACAATAAAATTTAAGTAACTATCAAAACAAATACCGTATCTAAAATAACAATACATGCAGGGTAACAACCATCCAAACAACCTTTTAGTCAAAAAGAAGATTGACCAACGTAAATTTTTGACGTGGCAATAGCACTCACGTGGTCTCTCCTAACAAGCTTCAGTTCAGGCCATCATTCGAAATCCGTTAAAAGGTCAATTGGTTGAAAATAGGTTAAAGAAAAAGGCCAGCAACAGACCACGCGCAAGTGGGCCCCTCTAACAGCCTGATCAAACGCAATTATCGATGGCGCGTGCAGAACTGCGAGTAGGATTATCTTATTGGAGCCGTATTTTACGGTAAGATATCGCTATCAGTTTCACCTTCCATGTTGAGAGAATTGCAAAATTGCCATTTCGCGCCATTACGTCAATGCAGGTTTTGCGTCTTTGTTGGGTGACCTAACGCCGCAACGACTGTTTTCGGTTTCTTCCTAGGACGGATGCACGCGATGTAGCACGTGCATCTTTTGTTTTTTGAAAGACTTTTATTAATAAGAAGAATGTGTTAGTAGTTAAAATTTAAGAAGTTATTAGAATCTAACTCATTTGTTATGATAGGAGTACTTCTTAAAAGGAAAAAGTGTGAGGAGAAAGTCGGAAACCATTAGCTTGGAACATGAGGTCTTGGATGAGTGGCGGCAAAATGGTTAAAATAAAATAGTTAATCACTCATATTATTCACTAAAAAATGGGTTGTATAATGAACTTTTTAAAAGGAGTCAAATATGGATAAGAACCATATCATCCATTTAGAAAAATGAATAACCAATGGGTCTAACTTTTACATGTATAAAGCCTCACATTTGGGGTTTCTCAAGTTAGGGAGACTAGTAATTCTCCTAAAAGTGATTATATGCAAAAAATCATGGATAATATGATTACACATATTATCAGCCAATTAATTTATTTTTTATCCGTATTAAATATGGATCGGGTCGGATAATTTATCCGTTTTTCATTACCCATTTTTACCGAACCATATCCGACCCGACCCGTCTGTTTGCCCCTCCTAGCTTTGGATATTCCATATCGACAAAGAGAGCATATGAAGATGTTCGTTATCAAAAGGTAAAATCACACTTCGATCCTACCTGTTGGATTGGACGGTCGAATTAGCATAGTGTGGTTTACCCTGAGCCTAGACACATGCCAGGAGTTGTCAAGTGATCGCATTTCGCTAAAATTATACTCTATATATAGATCTTATATATCACATTTTGAATATTTTTATTGTAGTTGAGTGAGATGATCCGGTTATTAGGAGTTATTGAATAGAAGAAAATTATTAATAACTTTGTATTTAAGAAACGCTAGAAAAATAGATTTTAAATAAATAAATATTTTTTTTAAAAAAAAAAAGTTAAGGCCCTCATAAAGTTTGGCTTTATGCCACAAAACTCATTGGCCCCACCCCTGTATGCCAGGAGTTGTCAAGTGATCGCATTTCACTAAAAAAATCATACTGTGTATATAGATCAAATATTACTTTATATGATTATAATCATATTTTGAATATCCTTAATGTAGTTGAGTGAGACAATCCAGTGATCTAGGGTGTAAGTGAGATGTTGTTCACGGGTTTAAATTCATGTCTAAGTATTTGCCC